TCAAACAAGACACATATTCTTACTTTCTGGGACCTGCCTGTTCTCACGTACAAGGGGCACATATATCTCCAGTCTCCAAGAGGCAAGCAACTGGTTTCTGCCCATTGCCCTTTCCTCGGCTTTTCAACCTGAGTCTGGGTGGCTAAGCCAGGGGAGGGTCCTTGGCAGATCCAATGGCCCATACTTCTGAGGGAAACAGAGTAGGAAGCTCCATTTGGCCACATACCTAAGCCTCATTCTCTAATATAACTTTTACTGGAAATTCTGTGTTGGGGGTAGTTACCTGGGAACTTGCCCAGGCAATAGAGTTGATACTTCTTATTTGTCATTCTATGGAAAGGATGGGTAAGATCCAGTCTGTCCCATCTGCAAAATGCAGATACACTGACTGGACCCTGAGTTTATATAAAGACAAGAGTTATCATGGGGAAGCAAAGCACCATGGGGGAAAATGGAGATTCTCAGTCTCTGTAGCTGAACCTGCAGGAATAGATGAGGTAGATTATTCGATTATCAGGAAAACTTCACAAACCAGGAAAAACGTCAACATGAGTTCTTAGGCATGAGCACACTGTATTATTTTTGGCTACCACTTTTTTTTTTTGCCCTTTTTGTTTGTTTGTTTTTTGCCTTTCTATCACTTTACCATGTCTTTACATTCAAGAAAGGGCCTTTAAATTACCCAGGAGTAGCTAAGGTCTATATGGTCAGAGCAGTGCTACTCACAATGTGGACCCGCAGCACCACCGAGGCCTGGGAGCCTGCCAGAAATGAAAATTTAATGTCCCCACTCCAGATCTACTGAATCCGAACCTCTAGGGTGCAGCTCAGGCACCTGTGTTTTATTTAGTTCTTCTGGTTATTCTTATGTTATCGCAGAAATTCAGATTGGGGATTCTACAGCAAGGATTTTTTTTTTTTTTTTGCATTAAAGTAGATAAAATCCAGTGGGATTATTACAAACTCAAGTACTAAGAAGTAATTATAAAAGATATAATGCCTAGAACCCTCTGTTTCTAGAGATGAGATTTGCCAAGTCTCCAAAAAAGAGTAATAAAATCAGTTTACAAAACAGATTTTGTTCTTGCACATAGGACAAGATTAGGAGAGAATGAAGTGAAGAAAATCACATCAAGGAGAAAAAATTTGAAATCTTGTTGGTTCAGCTGGAAAAATAAGTGATGAGAAAATACATCCAAATGTAACAGCTCTAAAGAGTCTAGAAAAGATGGGGATCTTTACTAGGTTGAACATAGAAGCTCAAGGTCATCAAAGAGAAGAACAGAGGGACTCTTGGCGGACAGAAGAAAATGACACCTACCCCAACAGGTGCCCAGATTCGGGTATCATTCTATCAAGAAGGGTCTTCTTAACATTGAAATAGGGAAACCAGGGTCAGCATTAATGGAGAACTCCTCAGTAACTGGAATTGTGATGCTATGTAGTTAGAGGAAATGTGGACATACTGGGGTACCTGGGTGGCTCAGTCAGTTAAGCATCTGACTCTTGATTTTGGCTCAGGTCATGATCTCACGGTTTGTGGGATCAAGCCTCATGTCAGGCTCTGTGCTGGCAGCACAGAAGCTGCTTGGGATTCTCCCTCTCCCTCTCTCTCTGCCCCTTCCCAACTCATGCGTCTGTACACGCTCTCTCAAAATAAATAGTAAATAAACTTTAAAAAAGAAAGAAAATGTGGACATATTTAAGAAGAGAATGACTAGAAAAATCAGTGCAGTATTCTTCACATATCATTAAATTAGTTTCAGGCGGCACTGTTCATGTAGCTGGAACAGCAAGGATAGCTCGGGCTCTGCGGACACCTGCCTGGGAAGTGCAGGGAGTTAGAACTTGAGGAAGAAGGAACAGAAAAACAGGTGTGTTAAGGAGGATCCAAGGAGAAGGACAGTTGATCAGACCCAGGCCTGGGTTATAGGCTGCACTGAACAGAAATATATACCTCCTAATGATATTAAAGGTGAGCAGGATTTATTTGAGCACGGGATGATGCTGGCAGATCCAGAACTCTCTGGCATCCTTCTCTATGGAGACTTCACTGGCCAAAGGAGTATGTCAGGAGAACAAAACTGTAAATGTGAAAACAAAAGCAAATATAGGGAAGGAAAGTACTAATACCTAGCAAAAAGGAATTGGCAAGACCTGGCGATAGAAAGTGGGAAATGGCAGGTTGAAAGCTTACAGTGGGAGTCATCAGAGGGAACTGATGCTGGAGGCTTAGTCCCTGCAGAAAAGGAACTGGTGGCCGGAAGGGCTGCTGCAGTGCCCAGCAAGGAAGCCAGGTGGCTGAGTCTTTAAAAAGCCAGTTCTAAGGAAAGGTGGGGCCTCGGCGAACACCACTAACCAAGTGCACTTCCCGCACCTCATTAGACCAGTTAAAGTACAAGTTCCAGAAACTCAAAGCAGCTCAAGGATCAGCTGAGGATAATTCTCCAGGTGACAAATGTGAAAACTCCTAACCACGAAGCCACACTCAGAGGCAAGGCATTCAGTAATAAGAACCCCAGGAGCTCAGAACTAAAATGATTCTCAAGATCTTTCTGGGGAGAGAGAAATTGAGAGAAAAGGGCAGCAAACTGCGACAGTGAAGGAGGCATGCAAGACAGTGCAGTTCATTTGAAGACTTTCCCACTCTTCCTCCCACTATACTGTGGGGTACCCTGCCCATAAAACAACGAGGCTCTTTCACTAGAGATCAAAATCTTCAGCAATGGATAGAAGCAGGGCCTGGAGGAGAAATGAAAACAAAAAGGTGCTAAATACCTGGAGCCACCGTGGCAAAATTCTAATTTTCAAGGGAAGATTCCCTCCCCACAAAAACATATGGCAAGACTCCTGTCAGACAGAATCCAAGTAACTTTATGAGAAGAGACCACTCCCCAAACTAAGTTCTAATTCACAAGTGGTAGACTCCAAATTGCTTGGGAACCTACAGAGGCTGAAAGATCACATGCTGGATTATACTTACCAACGGTAATTTGGGATCCACATTGTAAAGGAGAAGGTAACAATGGGTTTCCTTTCTGAATTTGACACCATGGGACCCTGATTATATTCAAGCTACAGTTTAGACCTCACCTCCTACCACTTTCTCCAGCTCACCCTGCTCCAGCCATATTAGCTTCCATGATGTTCCTAGAACATGCCAAGGACATGCCTCTCTCAAGACTTGGTCACTTGGTGCCCACCTTATGCATGGCTTACTCCCTCACTTCCTCCAGACCTGTGCTCAAATGTCACTTTATAATAGAGGCCTTCCCTGACTATTCGTTGTCACACCCTCTGCCTTGCTTTATTCTTCATTTTAACACTAAGCCCCACCTAACATCTGATTTATTTCCTTACTTGTTCATCTCTCTCCACCCTGACCCCCTGACTCCAAGTCCATGACAGCTGGGACTGTTATCGCTGGTACAATGTCAGCTCTCAGAACCTGCCTGACACATAGTAGATAAGAGATAAACAAGCATTAAATGAATGCATTTATGCATCCATGACATTGGAAGTTTTTGTTCACGGTCCAAAGTTGACAAAAGCAAGGTGGGTCTGGGCTGACTAGGCACTGGGTTCGGAGAACATAATTTTGCTTTCTTCTTTTGAGTAACTAAATGATTAGTGAGAAGCAGCAGAAGTTCTGATTAAGAATGAGGGCCCTGGAGCCCGACTGACTGTGTTCAAATCACTAGGTTTGTGATCTTGGACAAATTGTTTAACTTCTCTGAACCTCATGATCTTTGTCTCTAAAATGGGAATAATGGGGCGCCTGGGTGGCTCAGTTGGTTAAGCGTCTGACTCTTGAGCTCAGCTCAGGTCATGATCTCATGGTTAGTGGGATCGAGCCAACATGTCAGCACTGAAGCTTGCTTGGGATTCTCTCTCTCCCTTTCCCTCTGCCCTTCCCTCACGCTCTCTCTCTCTCTTTCAAAATAAATAAACTTAAAAAAAAATTTTAATGGAGGTAAACTTAACCACTTCCAAGTGTACAATTTAGTGACATTTAGTAAATTCACAGTGTTGGGCAAACATCACATAATTCTGTTTTTCTTTCCTCAGAGCAATGGTGAGTCTGGGGGAGAAGCATCAGGAAAGTAGGAGCAGGACCTACCTGTCCAACTGCCTTCCTTCAAAGGCGGCAGCCCCTCCGCTCCTCAATTTGTCTGTGAAACCCAATGGATTAAAGAACAAAACAGTTCTGTGGCCCTTCCCACTAGAGAAAGCTGTGGAGTTGACACAGCTCGCCTCTATCTGGCTTCTTCACAAGGCCACACAGCCCTTTCCTAAGAAGCTTGACCTTCATTAGCCCACTGCTCTCTATGTCAAGTTCATGTGCTCATACATGGACCAGTCATAAGGCCTCTTGGTCCCAGCTCACATTTCTTTTTTTTTTTTTTTTAAGTTTTTTTTTTTAATGTTTTTATTTATTTCTAGGAGAGAGAGAGACAGCGTGAGCAGGGGAGGGTCAGAGAGGGGGAGACACAGACTCTGAAACAGCCTCCAGGCTCTGAGCTGGCAGTCAGCACAGAGCCCAATGCGGGGCTCGAACCCACGAACCGTGAGATAATGACCCAAGCGAAAGTCGGACGCTCAACCGACTAAGCCACCCAGGCGCCCCCCCCCAGCTCACATTTCTGATCTCCTGGAATTTGGTTCTAATTGCCCATAATGACTACGCTTGCAGCTCCGCTATCTTCAAGTTGGGGGAAGAGACAGAAGGCCTTACAGGTATTTTCAATCCATCACTATCAGAGAGCCCTAACTAACACAGCCCATTCCTGATCTGCACCCTCTAGGAGCCAGAACCCCTGCGCGGAAGGGAGTAGGTGGGAAGTTCAGGCGCTCCGAAGCCCGAAGAAAGTTAGTAGTCATTAGAACTAGAACCCAAGTCTCTTGCCTCCCAGATGAGCATTCTTTATGCTCCCCCACCTTGTGCAATTCACGTATTTCACTTGTCCTGAGCCACAAAACAGAAAGACACGCACACCTACCTGGTGTGGTTGTCATTGTTATTTCCGCCGAGTGCTGCTCAGAAGGTCCCAGTAGAGTGATAGTCACTGTGTAATCTGCTGCTGGGTGCAGGTCTAAACACACTACCGGAGCTTGTTCCCTCGTTGTGAAGTTAAATGACGCGGCATGGTAAAAATTATTCAGATACCACTTTTGACCCAGAACTTTAAACTGTCATGAGATTAAAAGAAAGCGTTGCATTAAATTTCCTGTCGGCTTGCAGATATCTAGACTATAACCAAAATGGAGATAAAGTAAGAAGGTTCGTTCTATTAGTCCTCACCCACTTAGAAGCATTTTTAATACCACAGCAAGCTAACCCGGGATGGATTTTACAGAGCTACCCGACCTATCCTATTCAACCTCCCCCTCTACCAGCTCCAGGACAGAGCTGAAGATGCATAACTGCATCTCAGATGAACAAAATGTAGGCTACTCTAAGGTAACCCCTTGAGGGGCGCCTGGGTGGCTTAGTCGGTTAAGCGTCCGACTTTCGCTTAGGTCATGATCTCGCAGTTTGTGGGTTTGAGCTCTGCGTCGGGCTCTGTGCTGACTGCCAGCTCAGAGCCTGGAGCCTGTTTCAGTCTGTGACTCCCTCTCTCTCTGACCCTCCCCTGCTCACACTGTCTCTCTCTCTCTCTCTCCTAGAAATAAATAAAACATTAAAAAAAATTTTTTTAAGGTAACCCCTTGATATCCTCCCTGGTAAAGATTGCACTAGAGGGGGCAACTGGGTGGCTCAGTCAGTTGAGTGTCTGACTTTGGCTCAGGTCATGATCTCACAGTGTGTGAGTTCAAGCCCCTCATCAGGCTCTGCACTCGGAGCCCACTTGGGATTCCCTCTCTCCCTGTCTCTCTACCCCTCCCCCACATGTACTTTCTCTCTCAAAATGAATAAACTTAAAAATGTTTTAAAAAATACTTTCAAAAGTTAAAAAAAATACTTTGCAAGACTGCACGGGAGCTATTGGGCAAAGTTCTTTTATTTTCACTCATCAAGAATCCACTGACAAGCCTCACAAAGTAGAATTTTTGAACTTTATGAGGACTCCTCCAACTTGTGCACTCAAAGCAATTGTGCAGTGGTCCTTCACGTGATCCTTCCTATTAGAGCTCTACTAAAAGAGTTTTTGGCCCATGGATTCATCATGCATTCTGTTTACCCAATAATACACTACCCACTGCTAACCCAAGATGCATGTATAATATAGGGATATATAAGGGAAAAAAATATGTGAAGGTCCCAAAAGATAATCAATCCTTGATCAATCAGAGTGATATATAGCTGGATGTCTCTGTGTTTAGTATTTCCTTTGATGCTCATGTCATTGGCTATGCCACCCCCTCCCCACCCCTCCTCATTCCCGCCATTCTTCCACAGTCATCCATGACCCTGACACCAGGCTCATTGGGAGATTCCTCTCTCCTCAATTCCTACCATTCTCTTGGGTAACTTAAAGGTCCTTATAAATAATATGACAAAACTTGGCCTCAGAATTCCTTGAGCTCAGTGTTATGAAGTTCCTTCACTCTACTTTAGCTACTCATATCCACGGCCACATCACAAACTGTGTCATCCTCAAAGCTGCTACAAGATCTCACAAGACCCTATCCTTCTGAACCACTTGCCCATTATGCCTGATCTCTCTCAGGAAACCGCCCCAAGATTTCCTCACTCAAGATCTTCTGCCAATATTCTACCACACCCATCCTCGTCTTCCCCAGCTCTCTCAAGTATCATTGTCTGTCATGTTAATTATTCTCTTGCCCAATACCCTCAACCCCCTTGTCCCTCTGTTCTCAATTACACCCATTCTAGAAAACGCAAAACACACTGGGTCAATCCAGATGTTTGATTTCATCAGGTCTACATTCAGGCTGCTGCCATCTGCTGGAGAAAACCTCACAACTATGGAGGCTGCATTTCTACAAAGTCAAGTCTCATCCTAAACTCCACATGGTTTAGTCTATAGACAAAAAATTACTTTCTGGTTACAAACTTTGAATCACACTGTATGCATGATTTTATAATGAAGTTATTATTCAAAAATATATTGTAAACATTTTTCTCTGTCATTAATTCATTCTCTAAATAGATTTATACAGAGTCTACAGCATTGGGTATATAATTACAAATAAGATACAGGTCCTAACCTCAAGGAACTCACAGATGAGTATCCAGGCAAACAAAGTACCCAGGGAGGGGGTGCCTGGGTGGCTCAGTCGGTTGAGTGTCTGACTCTTGATTCTGGCTTAAGTCATGATCTCAGGGTTTGTGAGTTTGAGCCCTGCATCGGGCTCTGTGCTGACAGTGCAGAGCCTGCTCGGGATTCTCTCTCTCCCTCTTTAAAATAAATAAATATTTTTAAAAACTTTTCTTAGGGGCACCTGGGTGGCTCAGTCGGTTAAGCATCTGACTTCAGCTCAGGTTATGATCTCATAGTTTGTGGGTTCGAGCCCCATGTCAGGCTCTGTGCTGACTGCCAGCTCAGAGCCTGGAGCCTGTTTCAGATTCTGTATCTCCCTCTCTCTGACCCTCCCCTGCTCACACTGTCTCTCTCTCTCTCTCTCTCAGAAATAAATAAAACATTTTTAAAAAATTAAAAATAAAAAACTTTTTTCTAAATATTGAGGCAGAAATGCCATAATACATGAGGCTGTAGAAGCACTAAGGAGGGACACCTCATCCTCCTCTTTGGGAATGGGGAAAAGCTTCCCTATCTTAAGTATGGACCAGAGGAGAAATTAGCATTAATCAGGTGAGTTAAGGGGTAGGAAAGGCATTCAGACAGCAGGAACAGCATTTGGGGGAAGAGATCAGTGAAGGCATCCCACCAGGGGAACTGACTGAGCTGAGTCTTGAGGATAAACAGAAGTCAGCCAGATAGGGTAAGGGAAGGAAGGGCATTGCTGGGAGGAGGGTCACATACGTGAAGACACAATGCAAAAGAACACAAGAAGTTAATCAGGGAGTACGGGACCTAGAGCTTATAGAACAGATTAGGCCTAAGGAAACAGATTTAGGACTTACCAGCATGGAGACAGTGAAGGAAGTAAAAAAGATTGAATTAGATTACTCAAAGCAGGGTACAGAATGATGAGAGAATGGGCAAGGATCAACCTTGAGGGTAATGAGATTTAAGGGACAGGCAGAGGAAAGGAATCCTGGGAAGAAGAGACCGAGAGGGGTCGAAATAACAGGAGAAACAGAGGCCATTTCGACAGGGTTATTGGTCAACAGCAGCAAATGCTGTTTGGTGTGAGGTAAAACATATTTCATGTCTGCATAGTGCTCTATCAGATGAATGTATGATTCTCTATTTAACCAAATCCTTACTGATGAACATTTAAGCTGTTTCCAATTTCCCCTATTATAAATAAAGCTTCAGAGAACAGCTTGATCTCTCTGTGTATGTCTGCATAATTAATAATAGTCAATTTCCAAAAATTTACTGATAGATTCTAACAAGTAACTATTTGTTATTGTTAACAAATGATCTAGCCACTGCTTAGGTTTTTGCCTCATCCTTTGCTTTCTTTGTTCCCTAAGAGAACCGTGCTCCCTAAAACTCAATATGCTACTCTACTTGCCCACAGTGTCCTTCTTCACCTGTATCCCACATCATTAATCTGGCTGATTCCCATTCATTCTCTATGATTCAGTACAGTCCTGGCTTCTTACTAAACCAAAACAAACAAACACCTTACCTTAGTGTGAATTAAAAGTTACAAGTCCTGATACATTATATTCTTTTGGTAAATGGCGAATGAATTAATTAATTAAGTTTAATACTTAGTCTACTCTGCCAAATGACTTGCTAAAAAACAACACAAAATAAAAAATCTCAGTTCCTACTTGAATTTACTTATAATTTTACTTGAGATGTGTTGTTTTAAGAAGTCAAGTTAAATGGAGACCAATAGCCAGGCAACGAGTTTCTTAAAACTCTACAACCAGGGGCGCCTGGGTGGCTTAGTCGGTTAAGCGTCCGACTTTCACTTAGGTCATGATCTCGCGGTTCATGGGTTCGAGCCCCGCGTCGGGCTCTGTGCTGACTGCCAGCTCAGAGCCTGGAGCCTGTTTCAGAATATGAAACACACTCTCTCTGACCCTCCCCTGCTCACGCTGTCTCTCTCTCTCCTAGAAATAAATAAAAAAACATTTAAAAAAAAATCTACAACCAAGTATGAATTTGATGAAAAAATAAGCTGTAAGTATAAAATGCACTAAAATAAACTATAATACATACTGGTGAGATACCAGACAGGGAAACTGATAGCAAGTCACCAAATACAGGGTCTTCCTCCAATTTAACCCCTCACTTGGCATTCATGTCATAGCTCACATCTATCTCTAGAGACAAAATTCAAACTTTCTAGAGGTTCATTCCATTAGTGTTTTTAAATACTTTGGATCCTCGGGGCGCCTGGGTGGCTTAGTCGGTTAAGCGTCCGACTTTCACTTAGGTCATGATCTCACAGTTCGTGGGTTCAAGCCCTGCGTCGGGCTCTGTGCTGACTGCCAGCTCAGAGCCTGGAGCCTGTTTCAGAGTCTGTGACTCCCTCTCTCTCTGACCCTCCCCTGCTCACACTGTCTCTCTCTCTCTCTCTCTCTCTCCTAGAAATAAATAAAACATTTAAAAAAAAATTTTTAAAAAATACTTTGGATCCTCACTTGGAGAGCACTCAAATTATTAAGTGATGCAACAGTTTGACAGACAGCATGAGAGATCTTACTTGGTACGTTTGTTCTGATCCAACTTTCCTAGAGAGTCTGTTCAGTTTCAAACAAGCTTCACTGAATACTGAAATATTGAAAGTTCCATCATCTTCTGAAAGATCATCTTCTAAAAGATAAAACATACAGACAGGTTGCATATCTGAGCAAAACATATCTAGGCTGAGTAACATTTAAAACTCTGACATCTTATAAAAGCCAGCAGGGTGTTTAAGAGCAAGAGCATCGCATATGGCTTCAAGTCCTGCCTCTACAACTTTTTCATTGTATGACTTTAGCTAAGTCACTTAACCGCTCTAAACCTCCGTGTCCTTCTTTGTGAAACCCAGTTATCTGGCTTGCTTTTTCTTACATCACAGGCTATTGAGAGAATCAGAATTTTAAATAATTCATATTTAAAAATCCATGTACACTAATAATGGGGCACCTGGATGGCTCAGTCGGTTAAGCGTCTGACTCTTGATTTCAGCTCAGGTTATGGTTTCATGGTCCATGAAAGTTCGAACCCCTTGTCGGGCTCTGGGCTGACGGGGAGGAGCATACTTGGGATTCTCTCTCTCCTCTCTCTGCCCCTCTCCTGCTTGCTCTCTTCCTCAAAATAAATAAATAAACATTAAAAAAAATAATCAATGTAATCTAATAAGGCTGTGATATTTTTAGAAACTTGGATATCACTTGGAAAGCCCAAATGTAAAATGTCATGGAGGGAAATGTGTCAACAGCTAGAAAGTCTGAGAATAAGGAAAAGATCAATAAAAGTCCAAGAGCATGAATTAGAACTCTCGGAGTCGGGGTTTCCTACCTAGAAAAGGATCAGAAAATAGATGGCCAGGCAAGATGTTTGTTTCACAGCAGACAGTATTTCAAGAGCTACTCAGAGAACTAAGGAAGTAAAATAATCAGAGAGCAGACTTATTTCAACCATTGGTTTAAAAAAAAAAAAAGTAATTTCATACCTCCTCCAGTCTAATCTACTCCTTCAATGTTCTAGTTTCTTCACGTGTCATTGAGAATGAAGAGATTTGTTACCAGTGAGTAAAAAACTCACAGGGGCCCCTGAGTGACTCAGTTGGTTGAGCATCTGACTCCTGATTTTGGCTCAGGTCATGATCTCAGGGTCATGAGATTGAGCCCCATGTCCGGCTTTGTGCTGAGTGTGGAGCCTGCTTAAGATTCGCTCTCTCCCCCTCTGTACCTCTCCGACCTCTACCCTGCCCATGAATTCTCTCACTCTCTCAAAAACAACAGCAACAACAAAACACACAGAATGTCCAACAATATCATGGCTAATTTTCAAGGAAAAGCAAGTTTACTAACAAGCCAGTACATTTTCTTTAAATGAGAAAAACTTTAAATGTCTATCAGAAAGAAAGAGGTTTTTATAACTACCTAGAAAACTACATTTCTCCCATGGGAGTCTCTGCTACTTGAGAAGTAATAATGACAACAAATTATTCAAAATCAAAACTGCCCACAGCATTTTAAAGATCACTCACACAAGGCAATTAGCTGGGAGAAAATATTCTTGGCTATAATTGGAAAATGTAAAACTATGGTTTTGAGAGAGAATTTGAAGACCTATCTATCACATGTGTTCTCCTTTATCTTCACAACTTTTTAACTTTTTTAGCTGTTGTTTATTTTTTAAAAAAAAACAACTTTATTTATCTTGAGAGAGACAGAGAGAGAGCACAAGTGGGTAAGGGGCAGAGAGAAAGGAGGGTAGAAGATTCGAAGCAGGCTTTGTGCTGGCAGCAAAGAGCCCCATGCAGGGCTCGAACTCACAAACTGTGAGATCATGACCTGAGCTAAAGATGGACACTTAACCAACTGAGCCACCTAATGGTCCCTATTTACTTATATTTGAGAAAGAGAGGGAGCTCGAGAAGGAGAAGGGCAGAGAAAGAGGGAGAGAGAGAATCCCAAGCAGGCTCCTCACTGTCAGTGCAGAGCCCGACACAGGGCTCGAACTCACAAACCGTGAGATGATGACCCGAGCTGAAATCAAGAATTGGACACATTAACCCTCTCAGCCACCCAGGTGCCCCTATCTTCACAACTTTTAAAGATTTAATAGGGACATCAGGAACAAAAACTGCTATGTGTATGCATGACTTTGAGGCACACCAAATACATGTATGTAAGGACCACCACACACGGCATATGTGTGTTCGCAAACAGAACACGGAGTGCTGCCTGCATAGTTCCCAGCTCAGGGTGATTTCTCACTTACAACCATTATAGTCTGAATTCAGGGGAAGATGGCAGTGTGAACAAAGGCATCTGGCTCTCACTTCCCACCCCCAATCCTGACAGAAGTGACTGAGAATAGTAAAAATGGGTCAAAGTTTGCATCTGGGTTAGAAAGAAGGGTGGTTGACATACACAAGGCACAAACGTGAAGACGTTTCTGCTTAGCACCGTGCGGAAGAGACCAGATGAAAGGAAGACACTGAGAGCTCCTATGTGCCTTTGCCTTCAAGCAAGGGGGCAGGGCCTCAAAGTCTCAAGGAGGGAACAGGAGAAGGAACCGGTGCCCACAGCGGGGGGCGCTGGCAGCAAGGGCAGCAGCAGGACAAATAAGTGATGGAGGCCCCATTCGGAACAATTCAGCACTTCCGGGTCCTACCTGCACATCACAGTGGCCCAGACACAGATCTGAGGTACGAAGACACATCTGTATTTTGTTTTAATTCACCAGGCAATGCTGATAGGCAGGCAGGGCACAAAATATGTACACTACTATTACAACTACTAGTAGTGATGATAATAATAATAGTCCTTCCTTAGCATACTGGAGAGCAGGGACATGGAGTGACTTCTGCAGGAGCTTCCACCTGACAGAGAGCCTGGGTTGGCAGAAGGAGGGACTCACTTCTCTCCCGCCTCTGTCAACCACAGCATCATAATGAAGTCAGACAATGACAATGTCCAAGAGCAGCGGTTTCACTCATCAAGACAGCAAAGTGCTGAGAACTAAAGCTCAAGGCAGTGGGCTTTCTCAGGGAGCTAGCAGCTCCTTGAAGGATGCTGGATTATCCAATCAGCAGTAAATCCTTCAAGATGAGATGTGAGATAAGCACACACTCATATCATCTGATACAAAGTAAAAGAAGAGAGAATGCCATCCATTTTGTTATAAGGGAAATATCAGACCTAGATAAAATGTTTATCTTCTAACAGTAAGTAATCTAGGAAAAAAAATTTAAAAAGCCTGTGAAATGATTCTATGAAGAGGCAAAGAATAAATATTCTTAAATAAAAAAAAAAAACAACCAGTTGGGGTGCTTCGGTGGCTATCGGTTAAGCATCTGACTCTTGATTTTAGCTCAGGTCATGATCTCAAGGTTCATGAGATCAAGCCCTGCATCGGGCTCTGCTTGGGATTCTCTCTCTCCCTCTCTCTGCCCCTTCCCCTCTTGTGGTTTCTCTCTATCTCTCTCAAAAACAAATAAATAAACATTTTTTAAAAATAAACAAAAATTTTAGGGGCGCCTGGGTGGCTTAGTCAGTTGAGCGTCCGACTTTCGCCTAGGTCATGATCTCGCGGTTCGTGGGTTCGGGCCCCGCGTAGGGCTCTGTGCTGACAGCAAGCTCAGAGCCTGGAGCCTGTTTCAGTCTGTGACTCCCTCTCTCTCTGACCCTCCCCTGTTCACGCTGTCTCCCTCTCTCCTAGAAATAAATAAAAATATTTAAAAAAATAAATAAATAAAAATAAACAAAAATTTTAAAATATTGAGCAGAGTAATAGTAAAATTAGGCAACATCTGCTTTGTACCTTCGGTAAAAATATTTTAAAGATAGATTAAAATAGATAAAGGATGAGTTAATAAGAGAATGCAATAGCAGAAAGGAAATTGGTTGAGAGGCAAAAATAAAAAGGGAACCAGATGAGGGACACCTAGCTGCCTCAGTCAGTAGGGCATGTGACTCTTGATCTTGGGATTGTGAGTTCAAGCTTAGAGCTTACTTAAAAAAAAAAAAAAAAGGAACTAGATGAGACAAGAAACAAAAGGAAATACAAGTCCAACAACAGAATTTAAAGTCCACTGGAAACAGTGAAGGCCAGGAAGGTAGGTGAAATGCATGTACAAAACAAACTTGCTGCACAGTGACAGAAGGCAGAGGAAAAAGACATGGATATAAAATGAGAGAGAGAGGGGTGCCTGGGTGGCTCAGCAGGTTAAGCATGCCACTCTTGATCTCAGTTCAGATCATGATCTCACAGTTCATGAGATCAAGCCCCACGTCGGACTCTGAACTGACAGCGTGGAACCTGCTAGGGATTCTCTCTCTCCTTCTCTCTGCCCCTCCCCCTTGTGGATGCACACACATGCACACTCTCTCTCCCTTACTCTCCCTCTCAAAATAAATAAGCTTTAAAAAAGAAAAAAGGCAGAGAGAAAGTGAAGACCAATGCAGATGAACAAGGAATTCCACGTATGAGTATTTGATGAACCAAAACATCAAATGAAAAAAAAAAAAAGCAATAATCAGAGATTTCAGGAAAGAAAATATTTCTAATGTGCAATATTTGTGTAAACAGACCAAAATTGGAAGATCCAAAAACCCTCAGAGTAATAATAAAACATAGTAAAAAAACTGTAACATTTATATCACACCTGAATGCAGTTTTTCATGAGGGAAGGGATTTGTCTCATTCACTACTGAATTCCCAATGCCTAAGATAACATGAAACACATAGTAGGTGGGCAACAAACACTTACCATGTGCATGAATACATGATTAAAGTCTTGAATTTCACACATAAAGAAAATCTCTGTGATATCAGGGCTTAGAAATCAGATTATCTACATAGGATGTTTTTCTAAAATATCACAACTTCTTCAAATTTCTCTTCCAAAACTTTAAATTCCCAAAGCCAATGTGAAATGCCTCTAGAATTCCACAAACAGAAGTAATGGACCAAGAATTTTATCTTGCTCTCATTTACTCATGAAGACGACGAAAAGACATTCTCACATAATCATGGGCTCGGAAAGTATGGGGTGCTTGGCTGCCTCAGTCGGTAGAGCATGCAACTCTTGATCTCAGGGTTGTGAGTTCGAATCCCACATTGAGTGTACAGATTACTTAAAGATAAAATCT